AATACAATTCAAAATCAAAGCAATACAGTACAGTGTACAGTGTTCTTATCTAGTGTTTAGACTATTTGTCCTTTTCCCCTAGTGGTTTGGCAACATCAGCTACTTATAAATTTCATGGTTGGTAATTTTATGGTTTCATTTTCTTGATATTATCTTACTTCTGAGGTTTCGGTGGCCGAGGCCAATGACTAGGCCAGTGAAGTTGTGAAGTAGCATCTTCCTTATAATAACTCCATATAACTTCAAAGGCTTGTTTTTCTAATTCATATTTCTCCATTCATTTTTTTTATGTTTCTTATACTCCCTGTAATTGTTTAAGTATACTTTGCTGCTGACTTTAATTTAAATATAGTTTGCTGCTGACTTTTAGTTAAAAGGCACCAAGATGGTCTGGATCTAGCTAACCCATCCATAAACTGTAGTGAATACCATGAAACTAACCTAGCTAAGCTATCCATAAACTGTAGTGAATACCATGACACTTTTCTTCCTTGAATATTTACCCATATATTATTTCTTTCATAAACTCCTGTATGAGGAAGTGGTTCATCAGTGGGCTCGAGGATTCTAAATATGCTCTCTTTTCCCTTAAGGGGATGCCATAGCCTACCTCCCCCTAACTTGCAAGCAATTCCAAAGTCTGTCTTAAATGTGGGCAGCAATCTTTTTTAGTATCCCTTTGAACTCCTTGAGTCAACTCTAGGGACTGAAGTAGGGAGATTATTCTTCTTGCAATAACTTATCTAGAAGTTTCCAAGTTTGCCTATTCTTGGCTGCTTTGATTATTGCTTGAAACAAGAGAAGAGCATTTAGAGGAAGCATAATATTGGATGACTGAGTTCCCAGGAAATCATCCGTATCTAGTCTCTCTTTAGGTGGGCCTAACGACCTAAGTAGGTACAAAGCAGTCTCTCTATGAGGAAAGAACAGGAATAATATTGCAGCAATAAAGACAAAAACTAAAGCAGAACAGTCAAGGACACAGCATGCTCCTTTTTAACACCGCCATTTTCCAGGAGGCATTCTTCCTTGAAGTTTTCTCAGCCTCGACCCACGGAGAGAACCTCACGCAGGCTCCACTGGAGGTGGCATGACACATCTGGGCCTTGGCTTCTTTTTTGTTGGGAGGCTTTGTATTACTGTTTCAATTTCCTTATATGTTCTAGGTCTGTTTAAACTGTTGATCTCTTCTTGGTTTAACTTTGGTGGTTCCCACAATTTTAGATATCCATCCATTTCTTTTAGATTTTCAATTTTGGTAGTGTATAGGTTTTTAAAATATTCCCTTATAATTGTCTGTGTCTTTTGGGTGTCTGTTATGATGTTTCCCTTTTCATCTCTGATTTTGTTGTCTTTTTTTCTTTTAGTTAACTGGGCTAAGGGTCTGTCTATCTTGTTTAGCTTGTCAAATAACCAGCTCTTAGATTCATTGATTCTTTGTATTATTTTCTTTGCTTCTATTTCATTAATTTCTGCTCTGATTTTTGTTATTTCTTCTCTTCTGGTGGGTTTGGGTTTCATTTGTTCTTGCCTTTCCAGAGTCTTGGGTTGCAGTGTTAGGTCATTTATTTGGGCTCTTTCTTGTTTTTTAATGTAGGCATTTAGAGCCATAAACTTCCCTCTTTGGACTGCTTTTAAAGTGTCCCAGAGGTTGTGTTGTGTTGTAATGTCCTTTTTGTTGAATTCCAGGAATTCTTTTATTTTTTTTTCTTAATTTCTCCTTTGACCCACTCATTGTTTAGGAGTGTGTTATTTAATCACCATGAGTTTGTGTAGTGACTAGGGTTTTGTCCAGTGTTGATTTTGAGCTTTATTGCATTGTGGTTTGATAGAATGTATCGAATTATTTCAACTTTTTTTTTGTATTTATTGAGGTTGGTTTTTTGGCCCAATATGTGGTCAATTTTTGAAAACGTTCCATGGGGTGCTGAGTAGAAAGTGTATTCTTTGGTGCTTGGGTGGAATATTCTAAAGATGTTTGTTAGAGCCTTTTGATGTATGGCATCATTTAATTCAGATGTCTCTCTGTTTATTCTTTGTCCTGTTGACATGTCTAATGGAGACAGGGGTTCTGAAATCCCCTATTTTACTGAGTTGGGATTAATCTGTGTCTTAAAGTTCTATAGTGTTTTGTTTATGAATTTGGGTGCACCAGAGTTTGGTGCATATATGTTAAGGATTGTAATATCTTCTTGGTTAACTCTTCCTTTGGTCAGAATGAAGTGACCCTCCTTATCTCTTCTGATTAGTTTTTACTTTGAAGTCTATTTTGTCAGATATTAGAATTGCAGATCCTGCTTGTTTCTTAGTGCCAGTTGCTTGGACTACTATTTCCATCCTTTTACCTTAAGGTAGCACCTGTCCTTGAAGGTGAGGTGAGTTTCTTACAGACAGCAAAGAGATGGATTTTATTTCTTAATCCATTCACTTAGCCTGTGCCTTTTGACTGGGGAGTTCAGTCCATTGTTATTAAAGGTTATCACGGAAAGATGTGTATTTGTTGCATCAGTTTGATTACTGTTCATGTCCTCTGTCTAATTTTGTGTTTCCTCAATTATACCTTTATTTATTTTCTTTCATTGCCCCTGGGGTAAAATTGTTTCTCTGCTCTCTGTATTGCTTCAAGTATTGTTTGAAGGGCTGGTTTAGTAGATATGTATTCTTTCAGGCTATTCGTGCCATGGAAGATTTTTCTTTCCCCCTCAACTATAATAGACATTTTTGCTGGGTATAGTATTCTGGGCTGGCATCTATTGTCATGTAGAACTGGATATACCTTGGTCCAGTCTCTTCCGGCTTTCATACTTTGCATTAATAAGTCAGCTGTAATTCTGATGGGCTTTCCTTTGTATGTGACTTTTCATTTTTCTTTTGCTGCTTTCAGTATTCTCACTTTGTTCTCTGTACATTTAGTGCGTTTGCTATGATATGCTGTGGGGAGTTTCTTTTCTGATCCTGTTTATTTGGTGTTGTATATACGTCCTGTATTTGTATGGGGATGTCGTTCCTTAATTTTGGGAGATTCTCTTTTACAATCCTGTTTAAGATCTGTTCAATACCATTAACCTGAAATTCTTCTCCTTCCTTTATGCCTATTATACGTAGAGTTGGTCTTTTATGATTTGGTCTTTCTTTTCATGTTGTCCCACGTGTCTTGCATATTCCATTCCTGTTTTTTTTTTTTTTTTAATTTTCCATAAGCTTTGCTTGAGTGGTCCAATTCTTCAACTTTATCCTCCAGTGTTGATATTCTGTTTTCCATTTCATTTATTCTAGCAGTGAGGCTTTCCCCTGTTGTTTTAAGTTGGATTGAGTTTTGCACTTCCTTCTTCACTTCTGCCCGAGTTTTCTTCAATGTTTCTCTCTCTTTTGTGAATTCATTCAGAAGTTTATCCCTATCTTCTTTCAGTTCTTTGATTTGTTTGTTCATGTGTCCTTTAAATTCATTGAATGCTTTGATCATGTTTATGATTGTTCTTTTAAATTCAGTGTCCTGGGTTATCTCTAGGGGGTTCTCCTTTTAGAACTCTTCTACAGGACTGGTGTTGTTTGGTGGGGACGTCATGTTTTGGCTTTCCATTTTATCATTATTTTGTTGTGATTTTGACATGTGAATTTCTTTTGTTGTTTATGATTCTGATATGAGAATTAAGTTGAAATATACTTCTATTTGTATTGTCGGGCTGCCTAGGTCCTTTCCTTATTGGTTATGTAAAGCTGGTTGGTACAGGTTTCAGGTTCTCTCAGGTTTTATATTGGAGGGAACTTATGGCTTCAGATCAGCTATTCAGGAGCACCCACAGAAGCCCAAGTCAGGTTCCAGTCAGGTACACGCAGGCTTCCTTTTAAGGTTTGGACCCCTATTAGCAGGAACTCAGAGAAAATTTGAGAAATTCCCTAAGGGAGGAACAATTTTGGGACTCTCAGTTGGTCTGCTCTCTTCTCAGCCCTTATGCCAGAGGGAGGCCAGAGCCTGGCACTCTCTGGTAGTATGCTGAGATCACAGCTGCTACACTGATGGAGGTAGGAATCCACCCTCTCAGGCTGTCTGCTAGGATCTCAGCCTTAACCTACCACAGCCAGGTCTGCCCTGGGGCCTTGGGAGGGGCCCCAGGAAATCCCAGGTAGAGGGATGGGTATGGTGCAATTAGGAGAAGCTCACCACCACGTGGTGGCAGGACCTGGGTGCTCTCAGGCAGTCCCTTGAATTCTCAGCCCCTATGCCATAGGGAGACCAGAACCTGGCACTCTCTGGCTGTGTGCTGAGATCACAGCCACTACACTGATGGAGACTGTATGCTAGGATCTCCAGCTATTTGTTTTTTTAAACTCGAATTTTTTAAAAGCCTGCACATTTTATTAGCTGGTTGAGAGAACAGAAAATTTTCAATAATTCTATAAGGATTATTATTGTATGGCAAAACAAAGTTTGTAAGTGGTACTTGGAAAGAATGCGAATGGAATCAAGCACTTGGCAAGTAGCAATGATATTTTGAGTAAAACTAGTAACATCCACCTTATTGAACAAGAGTTGTTATTTTCAGGAACAGCTAAAAGATGATTACATTTTCAGCTAGGAAATTGAAAACACTCAAAAGTCTAATGAAGCATTCTGAGTTAAATATGAAGTTAAGCATAATGGCCAGAGAACTCATCTACACTGTGTAGAAATGTCGTTATTTTACTTATATTAACTTATGAAACTCCTACAATGTCCCATGAAGGTGCTTTTGTTTTTCTCATTTTATAGATAAAGAAACTGAGGAACAAAGAAGTTAAAGAGCTTGCTGCTGGTTATATGAATAGGAGGGACATTCTTCCCTCTGTGGTCTAAGATCTGGATCCAGTGCTTTTTAATCACTTCCTTATGTCCCTTAATATTCAGAAGAATAATAACTGATTATGTACAATAATTTACATATACAGTGAGAAACAAGTTAAATTTCATGTATTTTTGTGAATATACATAGTGCAAATTTCAATTTATTTTTCTTTTTTAGTTTTTCATTTATGGAACAAAAATACTGTATCAGACCATCAACGCTCCACAGTCTAAGTTCTTCCCGCCCCTTCCAAAGCCTATGCCACCATCTGATGCCTTTCAAGGAAATGCGGGCATTCATTACTGGAGGAGGTACTGGCCTTGGCAAGGCATGACAACCTTACTGTCCAGCCTGGGTGCACAGTGTGTGATAGCCAGCCAATAAGCTGATCTTAAGGGGTCACTGGAGAGTCTACTGAAGAAACTGTGTGCCTCAGTATTAAAAAACACTTTGTCAGGGTGCTCGATTGCATCGTATGTCAGATATCATATAGATTTATTAAATACATCTCATCGGAAAGAATCAACTGAAATTAAGGGTATAAAAGTAATAACAAGTATGGTGCGGTTTACACTTCCAAAATGCAGATCTTTTTTCTGTATATGAAGAAGGAGTTGAAAAGGACATTGAGGTAGCTTTGATTTCAGTTGGAGGCCTTATCATTTGTATTACTTCAATTGATGATTAACCTCATGCCAAAATAATGAGTATAACTCTTTCATTTTCTTTAAGATAGGCAAGTACTTACAAACACCTATTGTGATAGATGTGGAAGGTAAAACTCTGTTAGAAGAATTTCTTTTTGTTTAGAAATATCTTAGTACCCTATAACCATGTAAATCTGGATCTTTAGAGCTTTGTTAAGAAGTTCGGGCTGGAGAGATGCCTCAGTGGTCAAGAGTACTGGCTCTTCTTACAGAGGTCTCAGGTTCAATTCCTGGCACCAAACGAGGGCTAATAATGATCCATAACTTCAGTTTCAGGGGATCTTCTGTCCTCCTCAGGCACTTCATGATATGGGTGCACTTACACACATGCAGACATAACACTTGTACACATAAAATAAAAATAAATAAATAAATGAATAAAATTAAAGAAACATCAATAAATTTAAAATATATATAATTTTTAATAA